CTGCGCGGCCTTCGGCCGCGCCTCTAGGCACCAGTGCACTTCAAAACGAGGCAGCAGAGACAAGCATGGCAAGGGACAGCAAAGAATACTACCCACTGCAGCAAGTGTACTCAAGGCGAAGGGAACAGGGAACTGCCATCGAACGAAGGGAACAGGGTTTAAGTCTTAAACCCTGTGCCCTTTTGCAGCCTTCTTGCTGACACCCTTGCTACACTTGGTTGGAAGCTCCTGATGTTTCTCCCGCGCATATCACTCCGCGACTCGTCAACATGGCGGCTTGACTGGCAGGTGATGGGCCACCAAGGCACCTGGGGAGCTCTGTACGAGGAGGCATGCCCCGCGACTGAGCTACCCCCCGGCCACGACACGCTGATGACACACCAGGTCATCTCGCGAGGATGGAGGGACAGGCCAAGCGAGGGAACTTGGCCAAGTCACTTCAAGCCCTGTCTCCCCTGAAATCACGCTACCCAGCAGCCCGCCTGACGATACCCCCACCATTGACGCCCGTGAATTCTATCGCCTGTTGACAAGGTGCCCAAACGGGCTCAGGGCACGCCCATCTGGGGCCACATTTGAGCACCTGTGGGACGCTACCCATCTGGACACAGAGACGTATTCCGCCACCTGCTCGCTCTTACCAACACCTGGCTTGCTGGGAAGCTCGGGCCAGAAGCACTTGAATTTCTTAACAGCTTCACGACTCCTAGATTTGCAAAGCCCCACAGAGCTGTAGGCGAACGCGTGCTGGGATTGGTGGTGAAGGCGGCCTTGTTCGCTGCAGCACGGAAAGCCAAGGAGCGCTTCACCCCTCTCCAGTCCGACGTCGCGGTAGGAGGCGGCATAGAGGTCCGCCCCCGCCATCGATCGACCCCAACACAATCCTGGCTCGCATATCGGCCAACAAAGCGGGCATACGCATGCTGCGGAGCCCCATGGGCACTCCAGTAGGCTGCGCTTCGATGGCGAGGGAGCGCCTCACCAATGCAGCAGCACCGCTTTAGCTCCTGTCCAAGATGGACCCACAGCTATGAATCCTCCCTCCCTCCTCACCCGATGCATCAGCAGGCGCGCCTCATTCCTCAAGCGAACAACGCCACTGGAGGTACTGCCCGCAGGGCAATGATCAGCATGGGGAGAAGGGCTTTTACGTGCCTTCATGGCCACGGTGCACCTCATCCACCCGTGCTCCACGGCCGAGCAGTCCTACATCTGGCGCCATGCGACCCTATCCGTGACCTTGTGAGGGCTAGGTCTGGCCGGCCCGTCAGTGGAAGGAAGCTATGCTTACCGTCCTTCAATAATTTCCATCACCCACCTCCTACAGTCTCTCGTCCGAACAGTCCACCCATCCATCGCACAGCTGCTTCGCCTGATGGACCCCCGCGTGGGCTGCTGGCTTTACCACTTTCTCAGGCCCTCCGCCCAAAACCACCCCAGTTCTCCACAGAAAGAGGAAACATAAGTCGTAGCTCCTTCTGTCGTAGCCCCTTCCCCTGGAGCCCTCTCCTATACCCATATATGGCTCCTTCGGCCTCTGTTTTCTCTCATTATTCAGTTGCGGGTTCAAAACTTTCACGCAACTGTCCTCCTTGACAAGGCTTGAGCTCACCGAGTGTATGCTAGCAGAACTCCCACAAGACTTGGGGAAGCTGAGGAATCTGCGGGAGGTGACCGTCCAGTCGTGCTCCAAGTTTCAGCAGCTTCCTCAGTCTCTCACTGATCTTGTCAACCTAAATGCTCTGAAAGCTGTGGACTGCGACAGCCTTACAGCATTCCCCACCAGCTTGAGCAACCTTAGAAGGCTGAAAATCTTAGCACTAGCCAAGGTCCCCCAGCTAGAACAAGTATCCACATCCCTGCCTTCTTCCCTCGAGATCCTCTCCATAAGAAGCTTCCAGTGCCTCACCCCTCTGCTGGAGCTTCCTTCTCTGCCCAGGCTGAGAAAGCTGAGCTTAACTAGTGTTGGGATCATACATGCGCTGGCAGCTGGCATGTCCCTCTCTTCTCTGAAGCACTTAGAGCTGACGCTGGCTGGAGAGGCAGAGGACCTTCCATTGCCTCTGGAGCTTCTTCCCAACCTCCGCAGCTTGACAATCCACAGCACTGGTTGCATGGCGAAGTTTTCGGAAGGGTTTGGTTCGGCCTTGGGGCAGCTGAGGCGGTTCCAGATTCATCAGGCTGCAGAATTGACGGAGCTGACAGATAGTTTCACGGAGCTCCAGTCCCTGACATCCGTAGAGATCCATGCACCTAAGCTCTTGTTCGTCCCAGAGGGCATCGGGGCGCTATCCCGGCTGCGGCAGCTGAATCTTGAAAGCTGCTCATCGCTCACCCGCCTCCCTGCCTTTCTCACCCAGCTTTCCTGCCTTCATGCGTTGAATCTCCACTGCACGCCCATATGCTCCCTGCCTTCCAACTTTGGACAACTGAGCCGGCTTAAAGAGCTCAATCTGGATGGCTGCAGGCAGCTGGCTTCTCTGCCGGAGGATCTCTCCCAGCTTAAGATGCTTCACGATTTGACTGAAGAATGCTGTGACCAACTTGAAGCTCAACGTGAAGCTCAAGCTATGGAAAGAATGTATGGGTTGTCTGCATACCACTCATGATGGTTTTTAGTCAGGTGTACGGGCGGGGGGGGGGGGGGGGGGGGGGGGAGGGGGGGGAGGGGGTGGGGGGGAAGGAATGTTTAGATGCTATGGAAATGGCTGGGTGCATGCATCCCTGGTTGCTTGCTAATGATAAACCTACTCGAGCTGTAAACAGTGTCTTCTTCAAATGTGTTTTAAGGATGTATTTACGGTATTCCAAAACGAATTATTCCCAAATAGCCATGACGATGTTTACATGTGTGGCACACTCACACTGCACCACAATAATGCAGAACATGACTGCTGTAGGTACAAAGATTCGTATCTCAGCGTTTCTGCTTCTTCGCCCCCACAACCACTTCCCTCACGATATCTCGCCACAACCCATCCACCACGCCCTCCTGCCCTGCCCGCACCCTCATCCACACCTCCGCCCTCAGAAACTCCCCATCACACTCCCAAGCCGCCCTCAGCTTTCCCTTACTATCAACCGGCCCTCTCACACCTTCCCCTCCCCGACCACTACTCTCACCCCTCCCCCCCGCCTCCCACCCCCATCATGAGCCTATGCACTAAGTTACCTGCCCTCCTTTGTCCCAGCCCCTCTGGCCGCTACAAGCACGTAGGGTTACCAGCGAGCAACCCCTCCCTTCCCCTCCCCTTGTGCCTGGTCCATTGCACTTGCATCACTTCTACTCAGCAGATTGAACCTGTCTGCTTCATCTCCCTTAATCCGTATTCACCTCTGTTCCGTCGCCCCCTCCTGCCATTACTGCCTCTTCCAAAACGCTCATTTGCAAGCTGTGCACCCCGTCAGTGAGTGGATGAGGCCATGCGAACATGCCCACCAACAGAGCCTGGGCGATTCAGAGCCTGTCAGGGAGGCAGCAGGAAGAAAAGTGGGCATTGAAGGTGACAGATATTGCCCCATTGTTGTCCAGAATGACCACGGCAACCACTTTAGTGCGTGGCAGGGCAATGCCGTGCAAGGAGAGAGGGGGCAATGCAAGGACAGCGTGGGCGATGCAAGGAGAGCATGGGCGATGCAAGGAGAGCGTGGGCGATGCAAGGAGAGCGTGGGCGATGCAAGGAGAGCGTGGGCGATGCAAGGAGAGCGTGGGCGATGCAAGGAGAGCGTGGGCGATGCAAGGAGAGCGTGGGCGATGCAAGGAGAGCGTGGGCGATGATGCAAGGAGAGCGTGGGCGATGCAAGGAGAGCGTGGGCGATGCAAGGAGAGCGTGGGCGATGCAAGGAGAGCGTGGGCGATGCAAGGAGAGCGTGGGCGATGCAAGGAGAGCGTGGGCGATGCAAGGAGAGCGTGGGCGATGCAAGGAGAGCGTGGGCGATGCAAGGAGAGCGTGGGCGATGCAAGGAGGGCGTGGGCGATGCAAGGAGAGCGTGGGCGATGCAAGGCAAGCAGAAAAGGCGAGGAGAGGGTGAGGGCAACGCGATGCAATGCAAAGAGAAGAGGTGAGGTGCATGTGAGGTAAATGCAGAATAAGCAAGGCTTTGTTGTACTCCAGCCTTGCCACAGGACTTATACGGCGCGGGTGATTCAAGGCAAGAGGTGAGCAGAGGGTGAGCGCAATGTGCCATCACATTCAATTGAAGCCAAATGAAGAAAGAGGTTACCAAGTGAGGTTACGAAGAAAGGTTACCAAATGAGGCTACCAAGAAAGGTTACCAACTGAGGCTACCAAGAAAGGTTACCAACTGAGGCTACCAAGAAAGGTTACCAAGTGAAGCCAGAAAGTTGGGTGAGTAAGTGAGGTGAGAAAAAGGGTGGTGAGGTTACGACATGTGAGAGAAATCACGGCTGCAGTCATCTTGGCGATAGAATGTTAGGAAAGAGCCCGAGCGTCCACCAACACCCCTAACCTCTACTCACCTTTGCCAGGCGGCGTCGGGAGGGAGCCGTGAGCACAAGAGTGTTGCGTGCCCCTCACGCATGCACTTCCTAGATAAAACCAACAGCCCACCTCAGCTTGAGGCCAGGTGATGGTGCTATCCGGTAACACACGGTGAGGTGGGGTCGGGGGGCTGCATGTATGGCAGGGATGGTGCACGCATGAATAGGGGAGGTGCATGCACCCCCCCAATTCTTCACCTCAACGTGTGTTACCTAGTAGCACCACACTCCACCTTAGCTTCTATGTACCGTAACCGGCACTCACCTTGGCCAGAAACGGTATCAGAACAGAGCCGCGAGCATGTGAATGATATGTGTGGTGGTGCCTGATAGGATGAATGAGAGGGTCGTGTCAAGACAGCATACGGGACAGGATGGAAAGGGGGGTGAGGTGGTTGTAAGAATTAATGCTGCGTACACGAAATGATTCTTGAATCACCTTCATGAGTTCAGAACTTTGCTTACGTGAGAGGGATTCTTGAGATTTTTCAAAAACGCTTCACATCAACACTCTCACCACCCTTCCCCTATCCCCTGCCCAACCCTTTCCCCTGCCACCTCCTCTCCTCACATCACCTGCCCCAAACACCTCCTCCACATTAGGCGCCAGCACCACACACTTGGCCCTCCCACTGCGCACCGCCTGCCCCACCTCCTTCAGCCCTGCCAGCACCCGCCGCCTCATCGCACCCTGCATGTGGACATTTCCTTGAGCCTCGACCCTTGCCCTCTCCCTGGAAACAGGGCTGATTTCCTAGAGCCTTGCACCGCCTGCCCCACCTCCTTCAGCCATGCCAGCACACGCCCCCGCGTGGCTCCCTGTGCTTGGGGGATGGGGAAGGAGGAGGCGGAATTTTCACTTCAGTGGAGGGATTGGCGGAAAGGGAATAGGGGGGATTCTTCCAGCCTTGCACTGCCTGCCCCACCTCCTTCGGCCCTGCCAGCGCACGCTGCTGAGGTGCTGCTGAACCCACCTGGGGGGGTTATCTGGGGGGGGTTATCTGGGGGGGTTACCTGGGGGGGTTATCTGGGGGGGTTACCTGGGGGGGTACCTGGGGGGGGTACCTGGGGGGCGTACCTGGGGGGCGTACCTAGGGGGCGTACCTGGAAGGGGGGTGGGGGGCCAAGGAGGCAAGGAAGGGGGGTTTGGAGCAGCAGTGCAGTGCAGGCAGCAGTGTGTTGGGCTTGGGCGTCACTGCCTGCTGGGCGTACCTTGAAGACAGGAGGAGGGAGAGGGTTAGAAGGACAGGAGCGACAGGGAGGGTAGGGGGAAGGGGGAGCAGCAGTGGGTTGGAGCAGCAGCTCTACCGGCATGTTGAGCTCGGGAGTGACCACGTGGAGGGCGAGTACCTGGAGTGGGGGAGAGAGACGAGGGGGGTGCTCCGCCAGCAGTGCAGCCACCAGCCCGTGCAGGTCTGGTGTGACCACCTGCTGGGGAAACCTGCGGGGAGAAGAGAGGGGAAAGCTTGAGTGGGGAGAGGTGGGGGGGTGAAAGGGGGGGAGACGATGGGAAAAGAGGGCGACCCAGCAGCATGTTCAGCTCGATAGTGGGCGGTGTGTGCAGGAAAGGAGAGGGTGGGTGTGAAAGAAGCAGGACGACGGTGCAGCGAGGGGTTTGGGGCAGGTAAAGGTTCATAGCAGGGGTGTGGGGCAGGTAAAGGTTCATAGCAGGGGTGTGGGGCAGGTAAAGGTTCATAGCAGGGGTGTGGGGCAGGTAGAGGTTTATAGCAGGGGTGTGGGGCAGGTAAAGGTTCGTGGCAGGCAGGGGTGTGCCCATGAGATGGCGACAAGAGTCATCTCAGGTGACTGTTCTGTTCAGGGCAGGCAGGGGTTGATTCTCTAATCGACTCTAGATTAAATTCCGGTTCAGGCCAGGGCTGGGAAGGTGAAAGACGGCCAAGGCACATCATCGATTCACTGCCTAGCCTGCTGCTTCCCTCTTCCTTCCCACATCTGCTGCTTGCTCGCCTCCTCGCGAACATGAGCAGTTGACTTGGCTGACCTTGCCTTTATTCTGCAGGGTTCTTTGAGTTGACTATAAAACTCATCAGGGCGATTGTAAGAATTCCAAGAACAATCCGCGCCTCACCTGCTGCATGCATCCATGCCAAAGTAAGTTGCTGGCGAGCTCGGCTTTGCACCTCATTGCCTTCATGGACCCCCTTGTCCGCCCATGCCTCTTCCATCTCTCCCTCCTCTACCTTCTCCTCACCCACTGCTTCTCCCCCTCCTCCTCACCACCTCCGTTCCCCTCACCCCTCGTACCCTCCTGCTCCTTCCCTTGCCCCGTTCCTCTTCCCGCCTCTCCTCCCTTACTCCACCCTCGCCGTTGCATACCCACTCGTTTCCCATCCACCTGCCTCCCCGCCCACGCTCTGCCGACCCTCTTCCGCCTCTTCTGCCGCACTCCCCTCCTCCCCACTGACCTGACCTCCATCCTACCGTCCCCGAACCTTCTTTCTCCTCTCCCCTCTCTGACGCCTCCCTTTCCTCTCCCATCAATTTGCTGGCACACCCGCCTTCACGTCTCCCCTTCACCATCCCGTGCGTCTTCCATACCATCCACCTTCACCATAACTCCCATCTCACCCATGCCTCAAATCATCACTGTGACGATGACTCCCACTATCGCCCATAAGTCCTCCCCTTCACCACCACTATGCACCACACGCCCTTCATATTCCTCCTCCCTCTCCAACATTCCCTCCTCAGATTTCTCCCCTGCGCCCGCCTCCCCCTCCTCCTCCAACAGGCTCGTCCCCCTCCCCCGTCTCGGCCTCCCCACCGCGCCTGTCTCGCCTGTCACTCGCTTCTGCTTCGGTGCCTGCCTCTCCTTCCCCCGCCTCGCCCTCCAACGCTCTCCCACGTTGCTGCCTTCACTCGCACTTGCATCCGCTCAAGCCGCTTGCGTGCGCCCTTCCCCCTTCCCTTGAACTCCTTCCGCTCTCGCCTTCCTCTCAACCCCCTCAGTAGCCCCTCCACCGCCCCACCACCCGCCCATCCTCACACTCCCTGTCGCGCAAACCGCTCCAGCATCCCCCCATTCCCCTCCCCCATTCACTGGGCCTCCCCTCCCCGTTCCACTGCTGCCCCCATCTGCGTTCCCCCTTCTACTGGTGTAAAAACCAGTTTCCGCGGACTCTTGCGGAGGCGGCACCGGCGGTGGCGGTGGCAAAGGCGGCGGTAGGGGCGAGCGCGCAGTGGGAGTGGCGGCGGTGGCGCCGGCGGCGGAGGTGGCAGCGGTAGCGGCGGAGAAGAAGTGACCCAGGCGTAGCGCTGGCGCTTCTTTGCTGTGCAGCGGCAGCCACCACTCCGGCCTGTGCTGCTCGCAGCGACGCTGCTGCTTCCGCCGCTGCTGTCTCCGCCGTTACCGTTGCTGCCGCGGCTAGAAGTGTAACACCCAAGGCTATTATAATGGAGTTACAAGGCCTTTATAATAAATCCCAATACAAGTTGAAGCTCTAGCTACCTCCCAATAGCCTTGGAGGTGTCAATCTTCTTGAAGGAGTTGTTGAAAATGGCTTGAGAGAATTGTGTAGGAAGGCTTGTGAGAGAGCCCAAAAATGACTTAAAGAAATAATCCCATTTCCATTTTGATTAGTTGGAGTGGGAGGTTGAGAATGAGCTTGCTTAGCTCAGACCCCCTCAATACACCCCTTGGGGAACTATCCCAACCATGGTTTCCATGGTAGGATGGTTCCTAGGCTTGGAGCCTATGTGGCAATTGTGTTGGGTTGGAAAACCCAACTTAGAACCATTCAATAGTTGTGTTTAGGATAGAGTAGATTGTAACAATTGTTTGGCAGATTCTGATTGGTTGGAATTCCAACCTTTGTGATTTCACTTTGATGGGTTGGAGTTTCCCAATCCTCTTGGTTGAGGTTTGGAAAACCAAACCAACCGTTCCATCCCAACCAAAGCCAACCTTCTTCTCCAAGTCCCTCTTTGTCGAGAAAACTCTCGACATTTGCCTAGAAGGGAAGTTGGTTAGTTAGCTTAGTTAGGGCAATGCGTTACACTCCTCCCCCCGTAGGTGGCAACATCCCCGTTGCCCTAGGGTGCTTCTGACGACGAGTGCTTCGAGCACGGCGCACCACATTACGACAAGGGTCAACCCTATCCACTGGTTGTGGGCCTGATCGTAGAGCCAGGTCTTCCATATACGCTTGAACCGCTGCTTCGGTCAAGTGTTCCTCAGGCTCCTAAGAGTTGTGTTCCGGCCCATAGCCTTTCCACTGAGTTTGGAACTCACGAACTGTTTTGCGGCCGCATTGTCGATCACGGTGCGTTAGCACATGCTCGACTTCATAAAAGAGTTCCTCCCCGAGAACGATGGTTGGTGGTGGTAAGTACTTGCCTTCTGCAACGTACTCATTCAACAGAGACACGTGGAAGACATTGTGAATCTGCAATGTCGCAGGCAATTTGAGCCTATAGGCAACCTCACCAACACGCGTAATCACCTCGAAGGGCCCAATCCAACGAGGGAAGAGCTTTCGTGCTCCCGGGATCTTGAGACGAATATTCTTCGTACTCAGTAATACTTTGTCGCCAACTGCATAGACGACTTCCCGGTGGTTCATGTCGGCATAGGACTTTTGCCTCTGTTGGGCAAGCTGCAGCCAATGGCGAGCGGACTTCAATGCCGCTTGCTGTTTACCAATAAAGTCCTTTGCGGCAGGGATTTTGAGGTTCTAAATCCCATGCGTCGCAGGGGTTGTGGGGTGCCGACCACAGTTCAGGACAAAGGGTTTCTCATGGGTGCTTTCATGCACAGAATTGTTCACAGCGAATTCCACGACTGGCAACAATTCATCCCAATCGTCCTGAGTTGGGCTTATGAAAGAACGAAGCATCTGCTCAAGGGTGCGGTTGGTCCGCTCTGTTTGTCCATCCGTTTGTGGGTGGAAAGCAGACGACATCTTGAGTTTCGTCCCCAGTGTCTTAATGACCTCTTGCCAGAACCGGCTTGTGAAGCGCGGGTCTCGGTCAGACACCATCACACGAGGCAAACCGTGTAAGCGGAAAACGTGCGTCACAAACAACTTTGCCGTATCCTCTGCAGACACGTCAGTCGTCCTGGGCACGAAGTGCACCATTTTGGTCAAGCGATCTACAAACACTGGTATCGCCGTATGACCATCTCGCGTCTTGTGGAGATCGGTGATAAAATCCATCGATACACTCTCCCAAGGTTCATCGGGAATCTGAAGTGGTTGAAGCAAACCACCAGGCTTCTATGTGCTCAGCTTGTTCCGTACACACGTGTTACAGCGAGTTACAAACTGCTAGACCTCAATGCCCATCGAGCTTGATGTCAAGAAAATTTACACACCTGGGTGTAAATCTCGATGTTGTAGCGCATGCACAGCTGCCAATAATTCCTGTTCGGAAGTTGTATAGCGCTGATCAGCCGGTGAAAGCTTTCTACTCTCAAATGCCACGGGGCTTCCTTCTTGCAAAAGAACTGCTCCAATCCCTACTGTCGAGGCATCAGTTACTACCTCGTAGGGCTTGGACGGGTCTGGCAAAGCCAGCACTGGAGCATTGGTCAGCATGGTTTTCACTTCCTCACATGCCTTCTGGCATTGAGCGGTCCACTGCCAAGCATTACCCTTACGAGTGAGGGCAGTCAGCGGAGTGACTACGGAGGAATAATTCTCCAAGAAACGGCGAAAATAGTTCGCAAGTCCAAGAAATGATCTGACCTGACCCACGTCCTGTGGGACGGGCCACTATTGGACTGCCGCCACTTTTTTTGGATCAACTTTGAGGCCATCGTTGCCTACCAAGTGACCAAGGTATTCCAACTCGCGTTTGTTGAAGTGACACTTCCACAACCGAGCAAAGAATTTATGCTCTCGCAATTTTCCTAACACCCATTTCAGGTGTTGCGTGTGTTCTTCCTCTGTCTTCGAGTACACGAGGATGTCATCCAAGTATACCAGGACAAATTGGCCAATTGAATCCCGAAACACATCATTCATTGCTCGCTGAAATGACGCGGGAGCATTTGTCAAGCCAAAACTTAACACATGCCACTGAAAATGCCCGAACAGCGTTCTGAAAGCTGTTTTTGGAACATCTTCTTCGGTGATTCGTAGCTGATGATACCCTTGAGCTAAGTCCAGTGCACTAAACTATTGAGCTCCTTGGAGCAAATCGAACAAATCCTCGATTCGTGGTAGAGGGTATCTGTTCTTCACCGTAATCTTGTTCAAGGCACGATATTCTACGCACATGCGTAATCCTCCGCCCTTCTTGTTAACAAACAAAATCGGTGCTCCGTAAGGGGATGCACTGGGTTCAATCCATCCTTTTCTGAGGTATTCCTCGATTTGTTGTTTAGCCTCCTCATACTCAGCTGGACTGAGGCGATACAGAGGTCGAAAGGGTGGAACCTTTCCTGGTTCAACAGGGATGGTGTGACCCATTGCGTGGTCAGGTGGAAGTTCATCAGGGATGGTTTCAAACACTTCCTTAAATTCCTCTGCCAGTATTTGCATCTGAGGAGGGAAATCTTCAATTGCTGGCTCCGAGGCGTCGGCATTCTCAAGCTGTACCACAAACAGTGTATCAGCCGACTTAACAGAATGCCTGAACTGGTTGGCCAATACACACAGCGCGCTGGGACGTTCAGGCGTCTGTGTTTCAGTGGGCAAAGTATCATTGACTTGCCATTGGATTGCCTTTCCGTTCTTGTTGAACGAGACAATGTTGTACTGGAAGTCCAGAATGACTTCGTTGGCTCGCAACCAATTCATGCCCAGGATGAGGTCGACACCTGACCAAAGTGGTAGGACATACACGCGAACTGTTTCGATATAGTCCGCTTGGGGCTGAACCAGGAATGCCGTCAGCATGGCCGCTTTGAACTCCTCCTAGCCAAAAGGGTGACCATTCGCCTCTGCGTGGCGCTTGTTGGCATACACCAACTTGCTCGCAGTGTCGTCCAGGGCAAGGGTCGCAGCGACCACGCGAGCCTCGCTACGCACATTGTGGATGGACATAAAGTCCTCCGCAGTGGAGAGCCAAGTCTCAACGTCAGTTTTGCCATGGACAAAACGAGGCAGGGCCGAAGGGCAGGAGCCAAAGGCATTTGCAGCTGCAGTAGGAGGCTCAGCACGTGCTCCAGAAGGAGGAGGAACAGCAGCAGGTGCATTATGGCTGTTAGCGGCATTGGCGACTCGCTCTGCTGCAGGAGCAGGCTGATAGAGGTTGCCATGCCGGATCTCCCTGTACTGAGTCTGAAGAACAGAGATGTTCTTCTCTTACCTCTTGAGCTGATCCTGCACGAAGTGGAGAGTGGTCTGCAGGTCCTGAATGAGCCTGGAGGTGTCGTTTTCCTTAGAGATCAACTGCATCTCCCTGGTCAGCTTCTCAATCAAGGCCTGAAGCTTAACAGAATCAGCCTCCAAGTTCTGGATGCGGCACTACTGCTCTCCAATGAGTAACTGCTGCTCCGTAAGTTGAGTCTGGAGCTTGACAGCAATGTTCACAGTCGCATTGGAAACACCCTCATCAGAGCCAGCCTCATCCTCATTTTCAGCATCAGCCTCAAGCTCAGCTTCACTTCCATTGATCTCCATGTCAACCACGAAGTCATCAAGGTTGAGATCAATGTCAGCAGCAGCAGCAGCATTATCTCCTTCATTGCCAACAACAGGCACCTCCTTAGTAGCATCCATCTCTTGACCAGAAGCCATGAAACAGGTTAAGGAGAGGAGATCTCAACAGATCTTATAATAATCTTTAAGAAATCTGATTACTCTTCTAGAAAAAACCAATACAGAATCTCTTAAGATTGACTTGTTTGCTAAATCTCTCTATCATCTCAATAATAGAGCAAGACATACTCAAAAGAGTAATCCTCAACAAGTCCTTGTAGATCTGAAGATTAACTCTTCTACCCAAGGTAGATCAAGAGTCTTCCACCAAAGGTGGGTAAGAGAAAATATTCTCTTCAAATTTCTTCCTATGTTGATGAAGAAGAAGAAGCTCCTTGTAGATCTTGCACTTCAATGAAGAGTTGAAGTAGTTGTAGCTTGGAGTTTGTAGATCTTTGGAGAAGCTTTTGTAGATCTTGAAGAAACACTTGTAGATCTTGAAATTTCTTCAAAAT